ACCAATCATAATCACTGTTACATTTACCAATCATAATCACTGTTACATTACATTTACCAATCATAATCACTGTTACATCAACCAATCATAATCACTGTTACATTACATTTACCAATCATAATCACTGTTACATCAACCAATCATAATCACTGTTACATTACATTTACCAATCATAATCACTGTTACATGTACCAATCATAATCATTGTTACATTAACCAATCATAATCACTGTTACATTAACCAATCATAATCACTGCTACATCAGCCAATCATAATCACTGTTACATTACATTGTAGTTTATGCCTGAACCTACCAAAGTCAACATAACTGCCACCACAAAACTTTCTTCTCCCCCCAAAGCATATGTCCAAGTGCTTTAAGTCAGGATCAGTTTTACCTTCTGAAAACATAATTAATTGTTATGACTATGACACATTAAAATGAGAGTAGAATGACCTTACATCCTCTCCTTTCATTCTTTTTTCCATTCAAGATTGTACTTCTTACTTTCATTTTTTTTCACCCATCTTATTCCATTATTTTATTTTTCTTTGATTTGTTCCTTTATTTACCTTCAATTGCTTCCAGTGCAGACGATGGCTCAACAAAAGTTACAAAGGAATAGTTGTCTCTGTTGACAAACAATTTGCACACTGTGAGAAATGCTGCCACTTATTGGTACTCATTTGGTACAAATGTACTGTGCCAAAAATTACTGTACAATATGTTACTAGAGATATACATAGAGGATATTACATGGGCGCGCGGAGATACAGATTTTATCTTCGAGTGTTGAAAAGATCTCTCACGAGTCAGCGTAGCGAACAAGAAGATAAAATTTACTTCCACTATATAGAGAAACCTCGAATGTGTTATTTTCACTAGTGAAAATAACATGTTATTTTTACTAGTAAAAATATCAATTTTACGTAATGGAGAAATATAGGTATTTCATAGATAATTATATTATGATAAATTAAATTACGTCTTACAGTGTAGCCTTTATTATCATGTAATATAATCTATGTTGCACTTTCGTACATGACATGACATAACATTATATATTATTTATTTTGCTACTTCAGTACACAAAAATAACAACTTGATGATATTTGAAACATACCCATCTTTACGATAGTGAACTGTGGTTTTCTCAATAGGACCATATTTTCTAAACAGAGACCAGATGTCTGACTTTGACATTTTATCATCAATGTTACCAATGTAGACTATTTTTCTCTTTTCCTGCAACAAGAAAAAAATAATAAGATACTATAGGTGAAAATCTTATCAACAGTAGTAAAACTTACAGCTGAAGTTTCCTTGATGGCTCTATCAAGCTTAAAATTCTTCTTGCGCTCATTTTCAATGTCAAAGAGATGAACATTGCTTTCTTCACTATCTTCTTTCAATGGAGACTTTTTATCTGGTCTTCTTTGGCGCTTAACACGTCTTTCTTCATCTGAATCATGCGTTGGTGRCTKGCTTCTTTCATTTCGCCTTTCATATTTTCTATGATTATAACTGCGTTTGTGTTTTAAGTCATCTCTYGAAGTCCTTGGGTGCGTTCTCGTTGACGATTCACTTGTTTTCTTGCTTTTGTGATRCGCTGTTCTTTCATCATCACTCTCTTCTTCAGAGGAACTCCAATAACATTCATCTCTCTTGTATTTCTTTCTCTTGAAGTCATTATAATCATTCTTGTTTTCCTCATCTTCCTCATCCTCAGTGCTGAYGCGTCTTTTCCTGTCAACCTCAGCAGGCATTCTTTTGGGAATTTTGAAGTTTGAMTCTGGTGATTTSACTAGTGCGGATGGTTGGAACTTCATAGGACTGTTTCCATTGCAAACATTTTGAGACAGCTTTTTATTTTCWGATAAATCTATTTTGTTTTCTATTCTGTCCTTTGTTTGGACTGTATTATTATTTGAATTATTGAATTTACTTCTGCCAGGGTTCTCATCAATTTCCATAGCATTTTCCCTTTCAACTTTTACTGTATTATCCTTAGATGATTCCTTGGGCATTGTAGCAATCTTGTCATTTGAATTGGATGCTTTCAAGGGTTGTCCTGTAGTGTTCTCATCAATTTCCATACAATTTACAAGTTCCCTTTTCACTGTATTCTTTGATGGTGTCTTATAGGGCATGGTACCCATATTGTCCTTYGAAACAGATACTGTACAGAKTTTTTCTGTAGTGTTCTTGGATGGTGTGGTAGGCTGGGTAGCTGTCTTTTTACCAGGAGATACCACAGAAAGGCTATTTTGTGCTACACTATTAGAAGCCTTTGAAGGTTTAGAAGGTACATGTGACCAAGCATTCTTGGTTGGTGTAACATTCTTTAAGGGTGATGGAGTTGTCGTCACTGTTTGTATCTTGGTTGGTGTAGCATTCTTTAAGGATGAGGGGGTTGTCGTCACTGTTAGTATCTTGGTTGGAGTTACATTCTTTAAAGGTGAGGGGGTTGTGGTCACTGTTTGTATCTTGGTTGGTGTAACATTCTTTAAGGGTGAGGGGGTTGTTGTCACTTTTTGTAGAGCTGATGCACTTTCTGATGGCGGACTTACTGGAGGTGACAGCCCTGAAAAATGTTGAAATTTTGAATAAGTATATCAGATATCATTTGTTCACTAATGAAAGGAAAATGACTGCAACTAAATATACAAGATTCATTGTCTTTAAGTGCATTGCCCACTCTTGATATTTAGGCTGATGAAAAATGCTCAAAATCATTGAAGGTAGGGCTTTAGAGCAAAAAAAAAATAACCCTTTTCTTTCCCTGATGCCTAATGACCATTCAATCCAAATATAAAAAGTGAGCCATTCAACAAACGTTTCCTCAATCATCTAAAAGAACTATCTGTGTGCATACGGTACATGTAATGTTTCTATATTACAGTCAATCTCTATACCCTTTGGTGAGGTGGTAGGTTGGCTGCTTCCAGTGTCATGCCCAATGAATTTAGACTTGCTGTGATGATTTGGTGAAGAAACTGGAGTCAGCGTGACTGATGATCCTTTCACTATCATAACACTAGAACCTATCACACAGCAATGGTTTAATATTTAAACATACAACATCACAGTCTTAAATGGGACATGAAAAGATGTCAATGAAATAGTACCACTTTGAAAAGACAGATACATTGTATAGAAGATGAATTGCCATTTATTGATGAAAGAAAGCATCGGAAATTCAGGAACAGAAAGAGAGGACTGAAAAACCACAAACAAGTCTTGTACAGGTTTGTTATGATAATTTTAGATTGTTAGTTTCCTTACTTTGATTCTGTTCATATTCCAAAAATTGATCCAGTAAACTGCTGACATCACCAGCTTTAATGCAAGCTATAAGATAAAATGTTTATGTAAACAAATWGTTAATTGTACTAGCAAAGTTTTCTGGTGACACTAAATAATTTTTTTGTAAAGCAAAAATGATAATTAAATTAAAACAAAAGGCATTTAAACTAAATCATATCATAAAGACTTTTTTATTTTCATTCAAAAGTCTTSCATGTTTTACTATACATGCATACTACATCCCAAAGTTTATTTGCTTAGTGCCCTTGTCAGATATACTGTATCATATATCTTGTGACAATGGTRCTTTTGATTACCTGGAATTTGGGGTTTCACAACCTTTACAACCTGCAACACTTTCTTTGCCTTCACAACTCCATTCTTAAGACAAAATTAGAAAAAAAATAGTATGAAAAGATGCAAAATATAAAAATTGCTTTCCATTGCAATGTACTGTTAGTGGATTGAATACTAATATAAATTGACCCATACAGGAACAATTTACATATAATATATCGGTACACTTTGTTACTATAAACTTTAATTAGTGCTCAGTAACATGTATATTGATATTAATTCCCTTAAATTTATCAATAAAATTTAATTCGTTTTAAGTTATAACTTATAGTTGAATCAAAAAAGGCAGAGCAAAGTTTCTCCCAGGGGACAACTGAACAGCTGACTTCCCTTCAAAATCGTCCAATTTACGATAAAATCACTTCCTATAACTACATATGCTTAAGATATAATAACTGCAAAGCGCGCTGYGATTTAAAAACGCAAAATCCTTACATCTAACACGAGAAAACAATGAAATCGATCATTTGTATGTTGATCGCTTCTCCTTGTGTCCACGTGGTCAAAACACATCGTGAAGTTATCACAAAAACAGAGCTCAAAATACGTCAATAAGACCATTATATACGCTCTTAAAACATATAATATGCATCATAATACCTCTTGGACCAGAATAAATGTGGGTTTCTGCGTTCCAGTAGAGCCATGTGAGGTTTCAACGTGCTTCGTCTTGGCYRGTGRTGATGATGGGTGGCACGAAAAACCTTTCGATTTTTCGTCTACATTTGCACTTTGTGATGTTGTATTTGGTTTAATATTCTGCATAGTTATTCCTAAGGTAACGATCTTCTATAAATGTCTTTCAAAGTCCTATATTCTAYCAAATTTAAGCAGAATATTCTCACATTTTACTTCTTTCTCAACGCTACTACACAAGAAYAAGAAGCGGCTTGTTGCACAACCGGTGACGTCATGGAATTCATTTACACAGGAARCCCATTATATTGTATATGGGCTTCCTGTGCATGAAATTCAAAATGGCGGTGATTTTTCATTTGGTGACTCCAAGATTTTCGGAGGACTGAAAGCTGTGTAAAGCTTTAAGAATCTGATATGCTTTGCTTAGAATGTTTAAAGTGGATTCCCAGAATTAAAATATGTTGACACTTATTCGCACATGGAGGYATTTGGGTCTCCATTCTCTAGCAAAAACTGGTAAAAAAACTACTCGAAACGGACTGTATTTTAATCTAAATCAAATTGCAAATGAATTCGAGTCTTTTTCCTTAGGTTGTAAAATATCAAGAAGATTGTTTTCAAGCAAATACAGCAAGGCTTTGGACCAGCACATGAAAAATGTCGTACAACAACACTCAAACATCACAAATAGACTGTCAGCACCAGAGGTAAAGGAAATACTCATGATTTATTTTGTAATTTTAATAAAAGGGTAGTAACTTATAGCTTTAATTAAAAATTGGGTTTGTAAGCTGGTTCTCTTCCTTGACGCAAGGGCAGAAGCCTGTTCGGGATTCCTGTGCCATCCTCTGGTTTTCATCACCCAGTTATTCCTTTGCAGWCTTTCATTCATGTTAGCCTCCTGTAAAGGAAACTGACAAAAAGAGAGACTGCAAAGGTCAGACTAAGAGGTATAGATGTGTGKGYAGGCACATGCTTCTGCTGAAGAAAATAACCATGCAGTTCACKRCAACAGTGATACTGTTGATAGGGGTTGTATATGAGTGGAATTATCCCAWGTACAGGGCCACTTTTTTGTATACAAATGTTTTAGACAGAGGCATATAAATTGTTCCTCTTAAGATATCAGTATCACTATTAATATTGTAATAAACACATATTCTCCTGCCAAAGTGTCTGAATAGGTCTGTGATACATACACATCTTACCATATTGTAGAATCTCAGTGCCAGTGAACACAGGGAGTTGTCAAAGAAGCTAGCATCATTATCTCCACTAGTAGAACTATTACAAGAATCACAGAGAAAGAAAAAGGTGTGTTTGTCTCCTTACATAGCCTCCCTCAAGGGTACTCTGATTTCTCCAGCAATGTCGTCCTTTTTCAAAATACCATGCTTTGGGCTGGCTTGAACAGGCATTGCCATTATTGAAAATTGGAGAGTGAGAGCTGGCAGAGTGATCCTTTTAAGCTACTCCCCATAATTCRCTAGTTAGTAGAAAAATAAATATTGTCATGTGAATTGTCCTCGATACTTGAATCATTCTCTTTATAATGTGTATTTTGAATGTGTCTTGAGGTSTACAGCAAAGAATATAAGAAGTGACTTGTGCTGTTTTTGGTTTGCCAAATACTAAACAAATAAATCATTAGGTCTCTTTGTATTTCAGGACTTGGATGATTTAGCAGGCTTAATCAAGGAGGGCGGAGAACTTGCAGACATAGCCAAAGAGGAACATAAAGACCTCACCAAAGAAATTAATGATTTAGAGGTACATGTGGAAATGAATGAATGAATGAATGAATGAGAATACTTGAATGAATGATTAAAAAAAGGATGAATGGGAAACAAAGCTGTTTTCTCTGAACCTAAAACATTATTTCCCAAATCAAGGAAAAGATTATGAAGGCGGTTATTCCTAAAGATGAAGCTGATGAGAATGATGCCATTCTTGAAGTAAGAGCAGGTAAAAGAATGAAATACAAAAAGTAGTAAATTTAGTGGTAGATTGTGATCAATATTTTGTAAAAGGATTAGGCTGTTTAGAGTACTAGGTTCTATCTCTGATCTGTTGTTTCAGGTGCAGGTGGCCAAGAAGCCTCTTTGTTTGCCTATGAAATCTTCACAATGTACCAAAGGTAAATAATGGACTTATAATGACTGCAATTAATCATTCATTTCTTCTTAAATTAGTAAGATCATTCATCTTGACCTTCTGTCCTCTATTAATCCATTTCTTTGTCTATTCGACCACAAATTAATTCATGTATTCAGTTGCAATGCTTTGTTTTATGTACTATTCCAATCTAGATAGATAGATAGATAGATAGTTTTATTAAAAATACCTTTGCAGCCAAAGGGCTGAATTACGGCATATTACAAGCTAAAAAAGGAGATAAATACAAATAGAAATAGAAAAATATATATATAAATATTATATACAATAGAATACAGCCTTTTGCACAAATTATGAGACATTTCTATATATATAAACACACCCAACCAAATATCAAATATCTAGACCATTTATTCAAATTCTACTCTTAGTCTGTACTTACTTTTTATTAGGTTTGCTGCATTCAAAAAATGGAAATTTAGCCTGTTGAGCATGACTACCAATGACAATGGTGGCTACAAGGTTGGGTTACTTTAAGGTTTAAGAAGCTGTCCAATTATATTGTCTTGAACATAGTTACTTTCATGTTATTCCCAGGAAGCATCAGCCAGTATCTCAGGGGCTGGAGTCTTTGGCAAAATGAAAGTAAGTATTTTAACAAATTTAAGTACTCAGACGTTTTTCAGTACTATGATTATTTGCAAATTGATATGATGTTGTATCAATCTATGGTTTTGGCACTTTTTGGCTTTGGAAGGGGGGTTAAAGGCACCCTGTGACCCCCTGGATTCGCCCCTGATTATTTCATTCATTCAACTGCATCCTGTATACAGCTGTATCTGTAACACTGTTTGCATTAGTTCTTGGCCCTCATAAATTGAAAGGTGTGCAATTATAGTGAAAAAAAAGTAAAAGTAAAGTGTATGAATTTAAATTGTCCCTGATAGTTTGAGGTTGGGGCCCACAGAGTACAAAGAGTACCAACRACWGAAACCATGGGSAGAGTCCATACAAGCACCATGACTGTTGCCGTTCTACCACAACCAGAAGAGGTGAAACAAATTCCACTTTTACAACTTTCACTTTGATTTCTTATTCCTTTACAACCATTACAATAACTGTAAATATGTTTTTTTTTGTGATTTTGATAATTAGATTGACATTGTTATAAACCCAAGTGATCTCAAGATTGAGACCTTCCGTGCATCAGGGTAAAGTTTCAGAAACTACATTGTTATCAATATTGAAATTTAGAGGAATTTGGTTATTACTGAACTTAGCTAGTAGCTGAGAGTTAAAGAGTTTTGATATATTCTTTATATTGTGTTTGTGTAGTGCTGGGGGTCAACATGTTAACACAACTGATAGTGCCGTACGCATTACTCACCTACCCACTGGWATAGTAGTGAGCTCACAGCAAGAACGCTCACAATTCAGGGTATGGATTGATTGTACAGCTCACACCTTATATTTTGCCATGTCAGTAGCATTAGTTTTACAGACATTTTATTCTATATAGTTAAAAGGGTTATCTACTTTTAAAACCTCAAAAACCTTATTGCAAATATTTGCTGAACACTTTTATGTTGTTGTTGTTATTTAATTATTATTTCCAGAATAAAGCCAGTGCCTTACAAGTGTTGAGAACTCGTCTTTATGACATCCAAAGATCTCAAGCAGATTCTGACAGAGACAAGGCACGCAGACTACAGGTAATTGGGCTACCTGTGGAACATTTAGATACATTTTGGGATTCCTGTGTAATAAAAAGCTGATTGATTCTAATCTAATTTACAGATTGGAACTGCCGAAAGATCTGAAAAAATAAGAACTTATAATTTTCCTCAGGTACAACTAAACTAGGCAACATTTTTATGTGATGCTAACAGGGCCAGTGGAGAAGGTCCGGGGAGGGGGTACTCCCCTATATTCGCTATATGGGTATGTGCTGCCAACCAGGGTATCGTTTTCAGTGATTTTACTCTGTAACAGGGTATCGTTTTCAGCGATTTTACTCTAGAACAGGGTCAGGGTTAAATTCCGGAATTATCGATGCTGGATAAAAATTCACGGGGTAAAAATTTGGTCTATACGCAGTCTAGTGCTGGATTTTACTCTGGAACATGGTATCGTTTTCAGCGATTTTACTCTAGAACAGGGTAATTTCACTCAGGAACAGGGTTTGAGGTCCCAGTGGCACACCCCCGCCCAAGGTGAGTACCCCCTTGTGGGGGAGATGGGGTACTGGGAAGGGCTGAAGCCTCCTTCTGTCATTTAAAACACCCTTAGTTTCCTTGTATGCAACTTCTCAATCCTTATGCATTACTACTAGCATTGAATATATTGATAATATTTTTGTATGATTTGTAGGACCGAGTCACTGACCATCGTATCAGTGTTAGTGTCCACGGAATCACTGAGTTTCTTGAAGGCGAGGCTAAGTTAGAAGACATGATTAATACACTACGGACACACAAYGAGTCAGAAGCTCTTCACAACTTAATAGAACAATACTCCAGCTCTTCAGCAACAAGCTGACAGCAAGTATCTAGTGGTGAAAATGTTAATAAAAGGTTGGAAATGTTTAAATCATAACAATGTRAAGATATTGAATTTCTGCATAAAACAGCAGTGTCAAATATTGATTAACAATTCTTCATTTGCAATATACAGCGGCCATGCCATCTTGGTTGAATTTCTACACAAAGGATGGGTTTTGAGGTATCATTGATTCAACCAACATGGMCGCCAGTCTTTTGTCTTTTGAATTTCGTGGGAAYGATTAAAAATGAGCAAGAAGAACATATTAAACAAAAAACTGATGCAGTCATTGTACTTTTGTTCTTATGCTTTTGCTCAAAGAGAGTATAATTGTATATACAATATACCTGAACAACCAATTTTAATCTAAAACATTTTTTATTATTTTTCTTTCCTTGAAATTTGTAACAGTTATATTATTTTCCAGTTTAAAACAAAAAACTAAAACTATTTAATATATTAGTATAAAAACTGTTTTACATTATTACATACTGATAATAGTTTTCCTAGTAAAAGTGTTATGAAAAAAAAATCATTTTATTTATAACAGTAAAAGTACTTTCAATACATGTTAAGAAAAACATGATGTGATTTATACACAGAAATAAAGGATAAAAAGTGTTAACATCAGTCCAAAAAATACAATTCAAACAGCCATGCAATGTAATAAAAACTGAACAAAAGTATTTWTTCACTAGCTTAAGTTTTTAATGATAACGCAGACGTTTTGGTCAGAACTCTGACCTTCCTCAGTTTGTGGTAACAAATGGTTTGCACGCGTAAGTTAAYGGGTTGAAAAAGTATTTTAAATTAGCGCGCGCGTTCTCATTAAAAACTTATGCTAGTTGTTCAGTTTTTATTATGACTCTTCCTAGCTGCAATTTTAAAATAGCCATGCAATGTTATCATGTGCTCAATACTTTTCTCATTAAAAATATATATTATTTTAAATATTCAATTTTGTAACCTTTATGTAAGCATTATGCTAGRAAATATTTAATCGTTTAGTGCTAAATACCATGGACAAACCAAATGCCATGGAAGAACATATAATTTTATGGAATACACCTTTTCAGTTGCTCTTAGGCCTCGATAGCAAGTTAATTATTCTTTTCAATTTGCTAATTAAGACTTTTCATATCAATGTGTGAATTGCTCACATTCCTACAAATTCTAAAGAATATTTAACATGTTGTCGAGGCCTAAGAGCAACTGAAAAGGTGTATTGACAGCATTGACTGCTTTTAATGGGCAATTAAATGAGAATACCTCAATTGGAAATAGCTATATACACAGGAACCTTGTGTCGGCTTACAGAAATATGATATTTTTATTCTCCTGGTTCCTATTTTWATATGGATGCTTATTTTAATCTCCAGTCATAATAAAAAAATTAGTAAAGATTTGATTATTAAAGATTTCCTGTGAAAAATAATTTTGTTGGATATAATAAATATACAAAAATGAAAATAATGCTTTTAGCTAAATTGTACCAGTAAAGTGTTTACTGTTGAATTGTAAACAGTTTGAATACTTCCAGGGGAGGTTTATTTATATTAATGATTATTTATGTTAGCCATGGCTCTATAGCTTTGTCAAAAACCTGTTTGTTTCCATGCCAGTGTACATGGCGTATACCACTAAAAGTGTAGSTATGGATACGTCCACTGTCGTTGAGAGTCTTGAGGCCAAAAGAATCTTGCTTGAAAAACTGATATTCAAATTAAAACTGGTTTAAAAACTAATTATAATCAATAAATTAAAATTGGCCGAGATAAAACTAAATAGAGTCATATCYCAAACATGTTTTTATAGGACGTTAATCACTAAGATAGTCATGATAACACTCAAACTAACCTCCTGTCCTTCCATTGGTACAATAGTTTGACTACTATTCTCCTGATATGATCCAAATTGACTGTAATAAGGCAAGAATTTACAGAGATGAGTAATAATACTGGTATTTATATCTAGTTGTCTCTAGCTGAATTTCATATTAGAYGTTTCGATTTGGTCTCAGAGATTTTCAGTGCAAATTAATCCGTTACAAATTGTTTGTGTTGTCTGATATTAAAAAGATTTAGCTAGAGACAACTAGATATTAATACTAACTATGAATCCTAGGTCTGCAACAACGATATACTAGTAAACCTGTTCTAGCGAATCTAAAATCTCATTGGGTACTGTAAAAAAATGAAAATTTGGGACTGTCATTATTCATTTAGCAATACACTTAATTTGCATGGTTGTCAAATAGATGAAAAATGGAATTTTTCTAGATATCAATTTCTTTAGAATGGTTTTCATAAAACTATGAAACAAACTTCTTTAGTTGAAAGACAATGAGAGCATAATTATGATGCAAAAGTATTGTACATTTAAGTGTTTTTCATGAGTTTATGAAAGCTATACTCAATGAACCTTATTACATGGTATGAATTCTGTTTTTGGAATTGCACTTACCTTGACTGCCAAGGAGTTATGACGCCATCATCAGGCCCACCAATCAAGATCAGATTCTTTATTTTCAAGAAGTTTTTCTTGCGTTGTTCACACTCTGTGGCAATTTATTTAAATAAATTCGCTGATATAATTGCTGGTAATGCTATGGCTTGTCAGCTTTCTGCTCCATAAAGCCAAACATATTTAATGAAATAATAATTTTAAATTGTGACTGCTTGTGGCTCTGTCTTCTGACATTTATAGCACCTGAGTTCTCAGTAGAAAAAAAAAGTAGAAGGTACATGTAATAGCAAAAGCAAATTCTACAACTTTACTAACAAGAAAATTGCAAATAATTTAATCAAGTAGCCATCAACTAAGCAATAAGTAGCAATAGTCTCCTTCACCATTCTCTGCACCATCTTGAAAGGTAGTCTGTCATGCCTTTCCATCGAAGCAAGACAACCATTGAGCGTGCAATGATAGATACCTGTGAATAATTGTCTGTATGTGTGAAAGGAGGTTTCTATCATTGCACACCCAACACTCATCTTACTTCAATGCAAAGGTATGGCTACCTTTCAAGATGGAGCAGGGAACGTGAAGAATACTATTTTCACCAGGTACTGGCCTCTATTGAGAACCTGCAGGCTCACAGAGGAAAATATAAGGCACTTGAGGATCAAAACAAACAAACTCTGCACTCACAGAAACAAATAACTTTTAAGTAATACAAACCTTGCTTATTGTACTTGAATGAAGACCTGTTGTTGTTGATGACAGGCAGGAATACATTTATGTCCAGGTTTATTTGTTGGTGGAATGGATCTGTAATAAAAACAACCAATTGGCCAGGAATATTGATTTTAATACTGTGAATCAAATCTTCATTTTAATAGTAAATAATAATGAGTTATTATATTCCTCTTACCATTCCAATAATTAGCAATGGAAATATGTTGTTGGGCATAACCTGTGTAGAAAAACCTGAAGAAAACAATTTTATTAATAAATATTGATTAATGGTCTAGTCTTTGTGTGAAAAATGAAATAAAGTATTTTCATGAATGAATGCCTACTTGTAAAGGTCCTTTAAAGCAACCTTAGGAAGAAATGGTTTGAGGTATGAAGAATCTGAAACACAAGATATAATTGTATATTATTAATTGCTCATTTACATATTACCAGTATTATCAGTCGAATCATCTTAAATTAAAGATTCAGTCAGTCAATCAGACAATCTGTCTGTCCTTGAACTCATTAAACCAGTCTATTTGCAGCTGTTTCTAGTGAGTATCTGGGAAAAATTGGCCTGTGTTGTCTGCCCACTCATGCTGCCCCTTTTTTGGTCTTGCGTTATTGAACCTGTTAATCAAATCATTATATTCACCCAGATATGCAATCCTTTAATCAAGCAATAACAAAATATAGACATGCCTCCATATTGTCCCAATTGCGGAGCTGACAAGCTTACAAAGTTGATAACATTGTGGTCTGGCATTGTCTCGAGCATTCCACGGACCATCAGTCCACCTATGAATGAAGTCAATTCCAGGAATAAGCAGAGTATTTACCATTAAACTTCTAGATGTGTGATTGACTTGTCAAAATATGTCAGTTAGCATGCATTCAGACAAATCAAAACTGTCGTTGTGCTCGTCGACAACAAAAACAACAACAACAAAAATGGTCTGGAATCGATGCCTGAATTAATTTATGCGTACCTTTGTACCTTTTAGGGTCATTTTTCAATCCGTCCGTCGAGCATACCTACCATGTTTTATAGGGAATTCCCCCCCCCTCTCCCCCACACACACACACACTTCCCGGGATAAAATTTGATACCTCTGAATATGTGTGTGTTTAAAAAATTAAAAAAAGTCTAGTATGGTGTTAAATTTATCGTTTTACACATAGTTAATAGAGATAATGTTTTACACAACTGTTTCTTTAGAAACACCGACGCAGCTCACACTAGTTTACCGCTTGTTTCTACCAGAAAAAAAACCAGTTGATTATCGCCTTTCTATAGTGTCTTTCTGTCTGCATGTCCTCATCATTTTTGCAAATTTCACTTTCACTATAAAAGGAACTCGAAACTTCAAAATCTCAGTATGAAACGCTTTTGACAAAACATCCATTGTAACCAATGTAATTAATTCTAATAAGCTTATAAGAATTAAAAAAACGTGTAAACTGATGGAATTCAATAACACAACAAATAATAAGTTAAAAAATTCCACGTGGATATTAAAATACGTTGTTTACCTTGTGAAAATCCAATGATATGTACTCCATCTGAAGCGTGTTGCATTACAGGACGGACTTTTTCTGTAAATCCTTCAATCTGCCTCCATAGCGGCGTAAAACTTCGGAGTTCATCGAATATGTCGATCAAAGTGACATTTGTACCAGGATGTGACGATCGTATGAAGTTTGCTAAATCGTTCAGATCAAAAGCATGGTCAAGTATTCCATGAATTATAATAACAGGCTTATAACATAGCCCTAAACTTAAAAATCCCGCTAGAAAAACTGTTTTTTGCAACAGAGCTAATAATCTAGTCATTTTCCCTGAAAATATCTGAATCGTCTCATGACTTTTTCGACTTTCGCTCCTATTGTAAATATATCATGAGCAATTTGATTGGTTCATTTTATCAGACTATTCTATCGACCAATCGTAGAAGGCTTTGTATCAAATCGTCCAAGATATGAGATGAATTATATTTTTCTTCTCGTGTTTTCACTTTTTTTTTCACTTTTGTTGCGTGAAAAAATGGAATTAGCTCCCAAGGTAGAAGGAGGAGGGGGGGGGCCTCCCCTCCTGACAAATATTTCGCAGTCTTTTACTAGTATCCATCTCTAGGGCAACTTGAAGTGTAGGGAAAAATTATTAAAATTATCATATTGTTGTTCTTTTGTACTCTGTGCAGTTTAATCACTGTAAACCTTAGAATTGAAATGTAAAAAAAACTGCTCCTTGTCAGCTGATGGTTTCCAGCTGATCGTCATGCGCAGTTGCATTCTTCCGGCATTCGCAGTCACCACCATCGTTCTTATTTATGTTTCATATCATTTTCCACGTCTTGTAACTAAAATAGTTCTACAGAAGCCTTCATATTCTACAAATAGTAAGCCAAAGGTGAGACAAATGCATTCACCAAAGGATATGTCAAAATGGATGGAATCACTTCCAGCTGAAAAGCAAAACAGTTCGCTCCAAAGTCTGGTCATCCCTGGGTCACACGACTCCTGTTCGTTCTCTATCAGAAAAGACCTCGAAGTCAGCCCAGGCGAATCAAAATGGCTGAAAGCTTTGGCTCATCTTTTCCCAAAGACAATCAAGTCGATCATTTACAATTGGTCTGTGACACAATCTTATAACATATATCAACAACTAAAGGCAGGGATAAGATATCTTGATTTGCGTGTAGCCAAAAGACCAAAAGATGGAACGTACCGAGTTGTACATGGTTTGTACGGAGCTACATTAAGTGAAATGTTGGCACAAGTGAAAACTTTCTTAAAAGAATGCCCGAAAGAAATTGTCATTCTAGATTTCAATCACTTTTATGGCATGACTTCACAAGATCACACAATCTTCTCCAACTCAATCAAATCAGCATTTGGAAAGACACTGAGGCCCCCAGGAAGCCAAGGAGTGAATGTCACCTTAAAAGAGCTCTGGGAAAATAATGAGAATATCTTGGCATTTTATCTTGATGCAGAGACTGTCAAGAATAATCCATGCTTTTGGCCAAACAGCAAAATATACTCCCCCTGGGCAAATACAAGTGATCTGAATACATTACTTCACTTTCTTGAAAATGAAACAGAGAGCAAACTACCCCCCGAGGATCTCCACATTGCTCAAGGTTTGCTCACCCCAAATGCCAAAGTGCTTCTAGCAAACATTTCCAAGTCGTTGAAAACCACACTCGCATTGAAAGCAACAGATGCTGTAACGACATGGCTAGATGAGCTACCAAAAAACAGTCAGAAAAAGCTGAATATTATCATTGTCGACTTTGTTGAATCAGATAACTTTGCAAGTAATGTAATTGAGAGAAATTACTAACAAGGTGGTTGTTAAGAAATTCAATTTCAAGCTGACAGAATCTTTGGGACAGAGTATAAAGCTTTTTTTGGTCTTTATTTACTAGCAAAATGAATAACAAAAGTTGACACCATGTGTCAACTTGCAATAGCAAAGCTTTTACATTCAAAACACCGCTGTGGTATTTGTGGTGCATTTAGTACAAGCGTAAAACATTGGTCATGCTATTTTATGCTAGTTCTTTTGTTTACGCTTGTTCAACTAGCACTATTTTGCACAATTTAGTATTGATTGTTTCACAATTTTACTGAAAGCACTCTACATAAGTTACCCTACCAGACTATGATATTATACATTTAATATATTTTTTTTTTCATTATTACAAATCAAATACAATAATTAGCTATCAATACAATTTATGTAAATATTTAAAATTATTATTCAATTCTATATTTGATATGCAAATCAACTACATTGTTTACATAGGCATGTAATGATCATAGGTGAATGTGCTTATTTGAAAAAACGTTATTTTCTTGGGCAATATTTTCTATTTTATGTAGAATTTTGTTAATTGAATAGGATCAAGAATTTGTATATACTATATTTTTGTAAAGCAAAAGGTGCTGCATTCTTATACTAAACTAGAATGAAGGCCTTCAAACATGCATGCTAAAATAACATTAACTTTTAAACATAAACATAGTGTCAATACAACAAGAGCAAAGATGGTGGGTTCAGCCATTTTTATAAGGCGGTGATTTTGTAAGCAATAATTCCTGATACTTTAATAAAAATGCACTTGAAATCATTGGTAAATTTACAACCTTTAGGGCCCAGACAAAGGAGGAATGCCTGAATCTTTCAACAGCATTTGAAACATTTTGAATTGGTCTTGTTTGATCTGGGACATTGTTAGATGCTGTTATCAAACATCATCCAGTATCCCTTTTCTATCGTTGTCCTGATATGGCTGTTATTAAACATTTTTGGTGCACCTGCACTTCCAAATTCAGCCACATCCATGGATTTAGTCTCCCAAAGTTTGAAACTTTTTGGCCATGTAAAGAATTTTTTTGATAATCGAAAATGCTACCATTTATGTTTTTTCTTCTGAATATAATATGTAAATTTAAAAGCTTATATATAACATCGAGCTGTAACCAAGGCAACACAACCTTGCAAAGTATAGTATACATGTACATACATTTTCCATTATTCTGTGTTCTTTTACACTATAAAATTATTGTGCTTGATTTTTATGGTAAGTCTTATATTAAAGAAAGTACTTAGTGCCTTTGACCCATCCACGCAGTCTTTGAAACGACACTCCTTGCTGTATCGGCCGCTTTTTTAGTCGCCTCTCTTGCCTTAAGAATGCTATCAGTAGCATTGTTGTTATTGACAAGTTCTGTTCCCATGAAATAGCCTTCTTGTTTGGGTCTGCCGTTAGTGTTATCTGGAAATGTGATGATCCCAAGACCTTCGACTCGACCGTTCGCAAAGTCGCCCTCATATTTCATGCCATCGACTCTAGAAAAGGTCCCAACTCCGTGATATTTCCCTTTAGCAAAGTACCCTGCGTATGATGTGCCGTCGGGGAACTTCAGCAGTCCTATTCCTTCGCAGAAACCGTCTGTGAAGTGTCCTACAAACTTTGTACCGTCCGTCAGGACCAGCATTCCTTCTCCGTGCTTTCTGCCATCTTTATTCCATTCTCCTTCATACGTATCTCCATTTGGGTACGTATAACGCTTCCAGTAACCACCTAAAGACATCTTGATAATATTAAACCGAAGAACTTTAGTTCATTAAAGTTTTCAAGTAAAAATTTCGGTCGCCCACAACCCCTGCGGCGAAAGTCGAATTCTGGGAAGTTCTAAAGCGCAGTCATTTGGAAGAATTCAAGTTGATGATGTAAACAAATTCTTGTGTCCTATTATTCGTTGCTTATTCGCTGGCTCGGACCTCAGAATAAGCGCTTATTGACGTAAAAACCACTGTAATGTGAATTTCACAAAACTACAGTTGAAGTTTCACAAAATAAAGCAAATACTTCAAAACATTTCCCAGAATTCTAAGCGCACTTAGTCATTTTTGTGATTTTTATTTTCTTTGATATTTTAAAAATATTTTCTTCAAAATGTTGTAAGTTCTTTTTGTAGACTTATCCCAATGATTCATTGATCAAATAAATTGTATATGTATGAACTTATAATTGGACTTTTAAGTTACAAATATTAGGTACCAGGCTGTCGGTGTATTCTTTTGGCAAAAAGGCCTGGGTCTGACAACTCTTGTGGCGGGAACTTGCGCGAATTCCAAACATGGCGGGTTTTTGTACCTAAGTTTGAGTTTTCATCTAAAATTCTGCATTTTCCTTCGTCAAAATGGAAGAAAAACTCATGAGACTCAGCGAAGAGGGTAATATCTCATCGTTGACGCAAACACTGGCTGGAATAAAGGATGAAAAGGTATGATTTTTATGAAAAATCATTGAAGATTCAACATTCAGCTGATTCTTACCTTGAGCTCTTCTTTTCACTTTTCGATTCGCAAAGGTTGTGGAGATGCTGGAAAAATTTGCTCTTTCTGAAAGGAACGATTCAGTTGGTTTCCTGAAAGCTATTCTTAAAGGTAATTTTGTATTTCTTTGCCTTTTGTTTGCAAAGTTACACAATTTGAACTTCGATGTAGATTGATGAAGTTGATTTCAGTTGATTTATTTCAATTAAGGATATGAATGTAAGGATTTAATTTCTTTATTAATTAGGTTCACCATGTTCAACTGGCGATGGTCAGAAAAGGACTCTTCATATATACAAATGCTGCATTCAGCTGTTGAATAATGGCGAATTGTCAAATAAAGTAAGACAACCTTTGAATAGTATTATAACTTAAGCTTCTTATATCAGATCCAGGCTAAACTTTGTCTGATTGCATTTTTCTTTTTTGCCTGTTTGAAAGTATCATACCTTGGCCATTATATCAATGTTACCATCAACTCTCTATAATGTACTCCCCCCCTCCCCCCAGGGTCATATCTTAGTGCCTGTATTAGTGAGGCTGTTGTAGCAAGAGTCCATTTCTCCAAACCCTTGTCATAAATCTGCAGTTCATACATTTGTATGACTCAATTTAGTATTAATTTTGTTGGTGTTTTGCACTATTAGATGCATTCTACAGTAAATAAATTATTACTACTACAATTATTTTGTACAGGTTGCAACAGAAATAGTTGGAAACCTTCTCATGGAGGTAATTTGGGCATACTATAATGATAACTTAGTTGTCAAAAATCACCACTTATTGCTTATAGCTAAATGTGGTAATTATAGGAGTGATGTTTTTGGTGTTTATTACAGTTGGATTCCTTGCCTGGTAAAGCCTTAGCTGAACTAGCTGATGTGTTTCTAGATGCTATCAAGGAAGGATCTATCAGTGGAAAGTTAGTTAACTGTGCTAGAGTACAAACACTAAAACTTTAAAATACCACTAAATACTGCTAAATCATGCTAATTCTATTGTTTTCTATTGTTTAATTAACACTATTTTGTAGTAAATAGTGGAAAGTGTTGCACACATTTAATGTTTGTACTCTACCTTATTGTAAAAGCTCAAGTTTGTCCAGTCATAGCATCTTTTAGCATACAAATTATCTGTTCACTCAAACATTTGACTTGTCAAACATGTCGAAAATATTATTTTGACCTGACATGTTCCTCTTATTTTTTGACCAGCATTGTGCATTGTCGTCAAAGTACAGTACATCAATGACAATGATAAAATATCTAAATAAGTAGCTGTTACTTGCATGAGATACCTAGGGCCGCAAGAGAAGACTATTAAATAACAACTAACAGTGAAACAGAAAAATAATATTCTAAATCAAAGTACATTTAATAAACAAATTACCGTAAGTAACAATGGCGGCATTTTTCTCCTTAGAAGTCTTGAGCTACTACCAAAAGTATTATCATCTATTGCAGCCAAGGAAACTATTCCATTGATCTCTGGTAAGCCTCAAGTGTATCCTCCTTTCTCAATCCTCCTCTACCTTCTGTGTCATCTTGCAATGCTGTATTCACGACTTTCCATACTCGGGTTCAGTGGACACGAGCAAAGCATTGAACTGAGGCGTCAAGGTACAATGCGCATAAAAGATCTGTGCTCAGTGTTCCTTGATGCCTAGGCTCAATGCTTTGTTCGTGGCCACTGAACCTGAGTATGGAAAGTCCAGAATAGTTGGTTCTAACTTAAATGTAGTAGTATTATGTGACAATGACAAAGCAGTTGCAAAAGGGAGGTTAGAGAGTGAGAACAAATAACACATCCAGCCAAATAATAATTCTAAAATATTATTGTCTTTCAGAATGCAGTGGTGAGATGTCTGGCGTGGAATACAAGAAACAGTTGTTGAATAGTCTGTGTTCTAGCAGGTATGCAAGCTAACAAAATTAGCTCTTCTCCTTCTGAAAATTATTTACTGAACTTGTTTTTATGGTCATAGATGGGATCCACAGTGTGTCATTCATCTTGCTGCAATGTTCAGGTACTTTCATACAGTATATTAACTCTATTACACTATATTCAAGGACAGTGCACTCTGATAACTTAACTATAGTTTTGACATGTATGCCTAGGGTACTGTAGTTAAAGAAAACTGGATCTCTAGAAAAAGAAAAGTGATGTCACTTTTCTTTTTCTAGAGATCCAGGCATTTGCCTTGTCCTTTTCATTTTCCCTGAATGAATTTTATTTCATTTTATAAACAGAGATGTCCCCATGAGTCTAGATGAGCTTAGGTTTGTCATCGAGAAACTGCAGCGAATGTTTAAAGACCTGGATCTTCAAGAACTTCCTCCTCTAGTGTATCAGCTCCTGTTGCTGTCCACCAAGGGTCATAAAGGGCTTGTGCTTCAAGGTGTTATGTCATTCTTTAATGACCAGGATGAAACTTGCAGGAAACAAGAGAATGAAGACACAGAGTAAGACTTACAGTTTTCAAGGAAAAAGAGACTTGATGTCTGCCTTTTCAAATACAGTTAACTCTCTTTGAACGACCACTTTAGTAAATGACCATCTCCTGTAAGCGACCACCTTTTAAATTTCCTGTTTTGTTCAGTTTCCCATATAAACTCTTTAAATATCTTTCTCTTAAGTGACCATCTCTCATAAGCGACCACTTTTTCCTGATCGTGAGGTGGTTGCTTACGAGAGAGTTGACTGTATATATGATAGACTGGGAATTTAAGCTAAACAAAAGATTTTAGGGTCAGTTCACACTGCAACATAAGCAAAACCTTAAAAAAAACGATTTGGGGATTAAAAGGGATGTATAATACAAATGAAAGCTTTTTTTCTTTGTTTATTCATTTGTCTTATTTTTTTTATCTTATGTTAATGACTATGCTAATAAATGTTAGTGCACACTAAATTGTACTTAACTCCTTTTCTTTAGTTCTTAGCTTTTGTTTGTCAGGTGTGAACCAAACCTTAGAGGAATGTGTATTTCTTTTTACTGATATTTCTCCATTATTTTTAGTGATTCAGTTCACTCAATTTCCAAAGAGCAACTTCGTCACATGGAAGGAACAATCATTCTTCATATAACTTTTGCCATCAAACAAGACCAGAATTTAGGAAAAGAACTGATCAAATATCTAAAGGTCAATTGACATAATAAAATGTTATAAAATGCAACAGTGATGTCATTAATGTCTGAGTAACTGGATGTGTCCTTTGTTCATTCAGTATTCGTATATTTTTAGGCTTCACAAAGTTCACCTGGAAAAATTCTAACTCCATTCACAGTAGCACTGGCATTGTCTGTAGGCCAAATACACAGATTTGAAGAAATGGTATGTGATAAAAACAGAGCTCATGCTACTCCTTGAAGTCCTTCAAAAGTCATGCAATAAAAAACTTGTTTTAAAGGGCRCTTGAAAGCACTTGAAAATGGGAAACATGAGTTGAAAAATGAGTTTTGTTACTGTAGGTCTTTTCACAAATGTTAACATTTATTACATGTAATTTCTATCTGAACCATCACTACTTCATTGTTCTTTTATTTAAAAGATCTTTGATATACTCAAGTCCTCAATATTAAGAAGTTTTAAAGATGGAGAGAGACGTCGGCAGTCAAAATGGATCAAAGGTGATCAAAATTTTACCATTTGATCAATTAAACAAACATTGTTTTTTATGCATAAAAATATTCCATATTTTAGAAAATGTACCAGAGTGCTTTAAAGTGCAGGAATATATCCTTGAAACAGTGCAAAATAGGTAAAGAAAATGACATTTATACTTACATTGTTTCATTTATTCAACTTTCTATTCTGACTATGTAACATTTATGAAAATTCCCATAAATTAAACCATTCGTTTTCTTGTTTACATTGAATTTTTAGCTTGTTTGGATGGGATCATGTGACGCAAGGGCTTGTTAACCTTGGTTTCTTGTTGATGGACAGCTTTGGACCAAAAGCATTTGGTAAATATAAATAATGAAAAATGAATGAAATAGAATGAAAATATGTTGAAAAATATGAAAGTAACAAAAATTGTAAAATAGGAAAAAATGATGTTTTTAAAACATTTATACAAATTGATAAAATATTTTATTCATGCCAATAATAATATAATTTCATACCCTTTTTAATTCCAGAAAGTCATACTGCAGAGCAGTTAAGTCCAGCACAGCATTCCTGTAATCTTGGCTGTGATATTTTATTAAATACTTTCAAAGGACATGAAATGGTCAGAGCTGAGATATTGGAACAGATTTTAAATAGAGTTGTTACCAAGGCAACAACACCTGTCAGTCATTTCATCAGTAAGTTTACACTATAATATGGTCAGTTTGCACCTTCCCTTGCTATTAAGGCTCATTAAAGCTATCCAGCTATGATTACATCTAGTACAATCCTGGACATTTTACTCGGGTGCAACACGTAACTACAAATCACTTTCGATTAAACACTGCTTCGTCTACATTTGTGTTTAATTTCCGAGTTTTCGGATCATTTGATCCATCATCAGGGACTAGTGATACAAATGAATTAACTAGCTGTTGAAAAACTAAACACATGACAATTCACTTATCATTTAGACATTATGACAAAATTTACGCCAACCCTCCCACCCCCCCTCTCCGCCTCTTCCACCCCCTTACAATGTTGTGTCCATTTTTGCATTCTGTTCATTTCCGAGTGACAGACGTCACGTGCAAGAACATTGTAGGTGGGGGGGGGGGGGGGGGGGGGAGGGGAGGAGGAGGAGGGAGGGTAAGTACTACATCTCGATAAAACCACCATTTCGCTGATGATATCCCAATCTGTTTTGACCATGGTTGTAAATATAGCATACCCCACCTCCCAGCCCTCTTTTATCCCTATTATCCTGAATTTTGTTTTTTTGTCCAAAAGATCTCCTTTCAAGCACTGTGCTATCAGCACCACATGTCCTATTGGAGTCTTTGCCTAAGGTAAAAAGACACTTTAATTAGAACTCTGTTTAATCATTGAATGTATTTTTAAATCTGATGCACAACGATATCTTTGACCTGCCGGTATGTTACATTAGGTCAAAGAAGCCCTGGATTATCTGTCTTTTCTGCCACCAAGAACAGCTGAGGGTCTTCTAAGAGCCCTTCAGGTATACTGTAATCCATTATAAGATTTATTATTGATTATTGATTAATTAATATTAATAATAAAATTAATATTGTTTTTCTATTCATTTGTTAAAGCCCCTTTTGAAAATCAGTCTTTCACTGAGAGATTCCTTAATTCTGGTTCTCAGAAAAGCTATGTTTTCTAGGTAAGCTCATAATATTGTTATTAAACATCAATCTTGGATAATTGTTTCATAACTGCTCTATCCTTWTTTCATTGATTTATTTATCTGCTTTGCATGTTTATTCTTTCAATTATTGATTTTTTTATTTATTTCATGGTTGTTTTTCATGTACTATTTTATTTAAAGGCAAATTGATGCAAGAAAGATTGCTGTGACTGGGTTTCTTCAACTATTGAAGCATTTTAAGGTACGGTATTACTGATAATGATCATAATAATTAATAGTATTTGATAACAATTATTAATTGTAATTAATATTTTAGTTTTCCACGCCTGCTTCCTGATAAGAAATTTGACCAAAAATTGTCTAATAGTGTACCTGGAGCACTATGATTCCATTTTGCAAAGCACGTCTTCAATGTTGTTCATTGTACTCCATTCAACAGGTCTTAGGAGGGTCAGTGTTAGGATCAAGTCAGCCATCAAGTCAAGCCAGTGTCTCTTTTTCTCAATGTAGTCAGGTTCAAGTTGATGTTCACATGAGAGGAGGAGCTGGGAACGAGGCCCTTTGTCTTGAAATACTTGGTGAGAATTCGATGCTGAATAGTATAATGCAACTTTAGATTAATTAAATTTTCTTAGCATATTTCTTTGTGATTTCCAGGAAACTTAAGAAGATGTTTTACACAGCAATCCGAAGTCAGAGAGCTTCTCTATGAGGTATGGCAATGAACTAAATGCCCTCATAAGACTATCCCAAGACGACAGAGTTTGAATTCAATAAAAATTGTTTTCTTGTTTAAGGGACTTTATGAAGTCATGTGCAGAAATCCTCAACTCAGGCAATCCATATTGGATACGTTATATATGCAGGTCAGAAAATAAAAAAAACAACAACATTAAATTGAATTTCTCTTGTAATACGTGGGGTAACAGGATTTTAATTTATTGTGAACCAGTCTAAATCTCTTTCCGCCTTCCTCTTGACAAAAGATGGTTTCTGGACTAGGTTGAGATATTATATACTAATAGATAACATTATGTCTACATGTATGTCATTGTTTATTTCTAGTTTCAAAAATATTATGAACCAGAAGAAGATGTCAACCCACCCATCAAACTTGATCCTTGTCTATCAGTCTCTGGCGATCAAGTTTTCTTAGCTGAACCTTTGGTAAATCAATTAATGGAATCTTAATTGCAACAGTGATAAACAGAAGAATTCAATATACAATATATTCAGTACACGTAGAGGGTGGGAGTTGGGTTGGAAGAGAAAATATGGGAATCAATGTCAGCAAAAGGTTGGGGGACAAATGATTTCATTTCCTGGAATTGATTATACCATGGACATACTGTAGAGGGTATCATTTATTTTTTCAAATTGCACTCTAAATTGTGCAAAGAGGGAATCTTTTCTCAGACTGATTGAGTTAGTTTGCCTTTAGGCCCATCTTCTCTGTGCGCTTCAGCATTGTGCAATATGGTGTGGTGAACATGCTAGTGAAGAGGATGAAGAAGGTAGGTAGTATTTCCTCTTTCAAAAGTACTTAGTTTAAAGTCATAAAATAAAGCAGCTATTTCATATTATTTTAATTATTTCTTTTTCAGATAATGTGGAACATTTGTTCAATGAAGTGGAGGACATGCTGGAGTCCCTTTCCAGAAGAATGATCAAATCAGAGATGGAGGACTTTGAATTGGTAAATACTTAGAGCAGTTGTTGATCTGAGAACCAAGGAATTGACCAGGAACAGATCAACACTTTTACCCTACTCCACCCCATTTATTATGTGCATTCCCTGATCACTGCCTGTTTAGTACCCAGCCAGACATCTTTTTGATTCAAATTCTAGGACAAGTCTGCAGATTTTTCTTCAGACACAAGTGTTGGAAACAAGAACAATATATTAGCTCATTTGGTGTTAGGAGTTTGCGAGGTAGGACAATGTGCACCTTAAGTATCTTCTAACTATCAAAGGTGAAATGTTTTCAATGTCGCATATTTTTTACTTTTGTATATTTATCATGAATAAAACCTGTCTTTTGTTTTGTAGCTTCTGCTTGAATTCACATTTCTAGAAGGAGAATTTAGGTAAGTACCTGTATTGTGTGTTATGGCAAAAAATCTTACCATTTGAAAGTCTTTATTGGGAAAATAGTGTCATCATAAATCAATATTCTTGTTGTGCAACCACATGACCAGGAATTTCCTGAGAAATAAAGATAAATGTGTGAACAAGAGAAACTAATGAGGAATGCTTTGTGATCTTCATCCAGCATCCAACATCCAACATGGCGGTGATGATGTAACTTGCACGCCAAGAATAAAGTAACTTTTGGTTGTGCATTTGCCAATATCTCCTTCTCACGGACAAATAATTTTTTTTCATATTTAACAAGCTAAATAATTGAATCTTGTTTATTGTTTAATGTACAGTACTCAGTCACTAGAATCAGTAACCCAGCTGTTTGCAATGTATCACCAGTTGGAAGACATTTTAAAGGAAAAATCTGCTGCAGCGGGTATGTGTTGATTGTTGCTACAGTAATATTTGTAAATAAAGATGCATTATCATAATTAACAAACATTATTACCTAATATGGGCTGACCAGACATCATAGACACAAGTATTAGTAGCTCACGTGAAATTCAAGGATCAAGGGTTTTAGTCAGAGAGGGGGGCAGGACACTTAGGAGGGGGTGTACATTCATGTACTCCTTAAAAAAATCACAAATGGAAAAGTATTAAAGATACTAGGGGGGGGGGGGAGGGTGTGCACCACTTGCACCTACAAGCTGAATCCACCCTTGAAGATTTTGACAACTCTGTAATGAGATCTCAAGCACATTTTTCAGCAAGTACATCTATTTATGCTGTCATGTTTTCTTCATGTGTTAGGTAAAAAGGGTCGTTCTTCAGGAACCAAGCAGGCTTCATCATCCAGTATGCTGTCAATTGAATGTGTGGCACAGCTGTGCACTGCTTTGTTCAGGTAGCACTTAAAAATGCCTTGAAATGAATGAAATGCAATGATATAATACAAACGTTTGGAAGTGTTTGAGATACTTTTTTCTTTTTATCAGTGATGTAACACCAAGCCATCAGGAAGGACTTATGCCTCTTAGGTCAATTACTGATTTTGTTAAGTATGTCCTTAACATTACACTACAAAAGCTCCGACAGGTAGGTTTGTTCAAATCCCATAGGATTATCATAATTACTAAATGTGAACCTAATGTACAACCATTTACAATTTGACTTGGTATTGTGAAAAATGGTCTAAAATAATGTTGTCTTCTTGGATGACAATGTTGGACTATCTTCCCTTACTGGAGGCTTGTGAAAGGAATCCATGAAGGGTGCAGCAAACACTGGCTTTGACCATTTTCAGTGACTAGCTCACTCTACATGTATATATACATTGCTGCCTTGGGGTCTGCTATGATCACAATTAACAATTAGACCTCGAGGTCAAGTGGACTACGAGCTAATAGCCCATGAGGCCGAGTCCACGAGGCCAAATGGACTATTAGCTCGTAGTCCACGAGGCCGAGAGGTCTAATTGTTTTAGTATAAACATACTAATMGGTCAAATAATGAAAACAAATTGAAATATCCTTAAAATAATTTATACTTTAGAATTAATTTATTTTGATTTTCCTGCGAGTGGTCTATCACAAATTAGACCATTAGTAGAGTAGCCAATCACAGCGCAGTATGAGTGATAGACCATTAGTAGAGTAGCCAATCACAGCGCAGTATGAGTGATAGACCATTAGTATGTTTATACTAATAGCAGATAGTCATAGCCATTGCAAGTCTAGCTTCTCTGTTTTGCTTGTTTGCTTGCTGTCATCAATATTGTTGTAGTGCTGAATAACAGTTAACTTTTAGAGTTGCACCTTTGTCTTCCATGCACTCTATCCTTTATTTCTCACTTAATTCGTCTTTCTTTTGTCCATCAAAACCACGATCCTTCAATGCTATAACAATGTATCCCTGTCAACATTTGTTGCTTTTTTGTTATGTACAATTGTAGATAAATGAGAAAGGGCATTGTACAGGTCTCAGGGGTAAAAACAAAGATCATTTGTACAAGCAGTGCCATACCATAGCAAGGTTAGTACAAGTACATTGTTTATGGCATCATTGTTTTCTTATTCAAGTGTTTTCTGTTGGAAGAGACATTAAAAGCTTTACTTAACTGTTGATTCCTTGCTACATAACTAAGCCAGATAAATTTCACAAAGCATTAATTACATAAAACAGTTTTAGGATTATGTTTGTGTTCTCTTGTAATTAAGGGCTTTGCTTAAACACATTTTGGGTGAGAGCTGTATTCATGATGACAAGTCTAAGAAAGATAAGGTAGGTTTTTGCTGAGCTGTTTTGATGTGACTTTTGTTTTTTCTATTGTACTATCCAAGCATTACTGTTCCTTTACCAGCCATCCTTTATTCCTCTCTACCATCCATTAATTGCAGAGTAAAAAGCTGGGAAGTCTTTGCTTAGAAGGTCTTTGCCTTGTGGTGAATATTGTATGTTGTCATTATAAAGACAAGCTCATACCTTTTCTTTCAATGATTGGTAAGTTGACTTATTTGTGTAGTAGTTGATGGTATTTGTGTGACTTATCTGTCAGCAGACTTACTGACAAAATTGATAATCAAACTCCTAGAAATGTCTGCTATGATGTAACAAGATCTTAGCTAAAATGTTGTTGTTTTTCAATAAAATTAGAATCAAGTGGTGAAGCAAATGAAGAAAATAACAACAACAGCGACCAGGAACGTATCTATGCCATGGTTAAGATATTCCAGGTATCTTATTTCATTCATTATTCAACCCTCACAAATGAAAAACCATCGACTCAGTTGCCCACCCATCATTTCATAATTCATGCATCTATCACTTCATTGCATTTTTTGTCTGATTTGTTTTCTACAGCAAGTTGTAGTAAGCATTGTGTCATCAGACACACAAGAGAGTGACATTAGCACCAAAGATGCACAGACACTAGTCAATGTCATTTCCATCTTAGCTCATCATCTTGATCCTGATGGTCAACAGGTAAATATCTTTACTATATGATGTGCATGTCATCTTTGGTAAGCTAATTGGTAACTAAGCTAACTGTCATTATATATGAATTGTTGTAGTTTGCACATCTTCAGTCCTGGGTACACAGAATCTGTAAAGAACATGACCCAGGTGAGACCTCATAAAAGATGTAGAAGAGATTTAATGATAAAGTTATCCACTCCATAGATTTTGTATGATTTTATCCACTGGATAGCGCTATTCACCTTGCATACAACTCACTCAATTTACCCAGCGATTGATTGCTGACTGAAGCACTAATTGATGGATTGTCTGATTGACTGACTGACTGACTGACTGACTGACTGGTTGATTGATTGATTGATTGATTGATTGATTGATTAATTGATTGGTTCTCATTCACAGATGATCTCATATTGTCCAAGTCTCTAGTGTCACTACTCTTGTCACTGACCTTTCAATGCAAGACTACCACTTCACTAGTAAGCTACCTTAGTATATCTGAATTACAATTCATTTTTCTTATTTGTGACATGTTTCTTCCCTCCTTACCTTACCTTTCCAATCTTGCCGTAATTTCTTTTGTCCCTTGTCATCCATTTTTTATCCTTCACTCAATCTTTGTTCAATTTATTTTTTTATTTTTTATCTGTTCTGAGATTTCCTTCTCATTTCATTCCATTTATTATTGCACTTTTCCCAATATTGTCTACTTCTTTACCAGATGATTATCATTGATAGTAAGGACAGCCATAGGTGGATATCTCAATTAAACATTTTCTTAATTCCAGATCAGAGAAATGTCTCAAGATATCCACAGTCAGCTTGGAGACATAGATGAGGTAGTTCACATGGATGACATTACACAGGGCTTGTACTGTTTCCAGAAAAGCCTGGAAAGCCATTGGATTTTATATTATGACTTCTATTTGCTAAATAGATTTAAAAGCAATGCATTTAATATACCGGTATTTCATGAAACAGTGCTTATTGTTGCTGCGCAAAGTGACAACCAGTTGAAGGCGACATGCAGAATATAACCCATGAAAAAAGTCATGGAATTTGAGACCTTCACAAGAGCGTTCACCTTGTTGTATATCCTCATTCAGCACTTTCTTATTAATCAAAAGCGTTTTATTGATATAGGAGATTGAAGTTGAGGATCGAACACACTATGCCATTGTCAATCAAAGAACTGCAGCACCAACTATAACCGTAAGACAAGGCTATTATTATTTTTAATTAATATTATTATTTTATTGTAATACTGGTGACTGTCTTTAAATCCCATTTCATCATAAATATATCAGACTTAAAAGTGTACCACATATTTTTGTCTTTCTGAATAGTTGATTGTCATTGGTCAAATGGACAAGATTCTGGATGAGATAGACTGGACACTATCCAAGATTCGTGGCGATCTGGCAGTTACTGTATTTGCACCTTCAAGTAATGATCCACCAACTTTTGATTTTGCTGCTGAAAATGTCTTATATTATTGAAACTATACATCAGACAACTGAAATACTGCCCCCAAACCCCAGGGAGGGCTGAGGAATTAACACTTTATAGATTGGGATTTAACACTGTTCTGACAGCAGAATGGAGAAGTAATGTCAAAACCAAAGGAAATTATCTGTTGAACTACCTTTTTTGTCTACAAGAACTGTGAAAAGCAGGATCTTTTACATGTAACATAAAATGTTAAATCCACTGATATTCCCTAAGGTTGGGGGCTGTAGACATTTTGTATGAGATGCCAGTCACATGGTACTACATGTAAATCCACCATACTGGATGGCAAAATACCCACTGGGATGTTCAAAAGAAAGAAAAGTAAAGCTTGATGGTCTGCCTTCCCTTTTGTTTTTGAGTCTTTTTACATTCTCTTGCTATTCAGTATAATAGATTCAGTGACCTTTTCACGCAAAAGGCCTATGACTGATGCATAGAGCGGAATTCGTATGACTGTGCAAAAAACACCGGTTACGTTTGCGCTGTGACCGTACCGTGCCGTAGCCGTGATGTATTGTTAAATCTTTATTTTCATTTGGAATCATAGAAGGCGAGGTTCCGTGACCGTGCCGTGTCCGTGTTGTGATCCGTGCCCTTGCACAGTCATACGAAATCCGCTCTAAGTATCATTTCTGAGTCTATCCAACGGTCACATGGCTTAAATTGCTCTATGGCATAATTTTATAGTATATTTATGACTATTTCAGTTGACAACGCACCTGACTCCCCTGATAGCACGCAAAGGACTTCACTAGAGGCATCAGTGTGTACTCGATTGACTGGATTGGTAATGGCTTTCCATGAAATCAGCCAGTCAGCTTTACCTGAGGGGCCTTCTACAGAGAACACTGTCAAAGTGAGTGATAAAAGAATGATGATATGAGAATGATATGAAGAATTATTGGATGGGGCTAGTACGATATAATGAATTATTGGTTGGGCTGAGTGCGATATGAAGAGTTATTGGTTGGGGCAGAGTATGATTTGAAGCATAATTAGTTGCAGCTGGATATGATATGATGAGTTATTGGTTTGGGCTGAGTTTGATAGTGTTGCTGGTGATAATGATATCATCCATTGTTCTAAAATATTTTGACATTGATAAGAACTTGTCTGTTTTTCAAGGTATTAACCAAGCTGTATGTCACCCTTGCTGCAGTTGGAAAATATGTACGTATATACTAACAGAATTGAGTATTCCAGTATGTAAAAGATACATGTTGTCAGGAGTAATAGGCTCCTGATGTTGTTGATATCTCGTATGTTTCTTTGCACAGTATATGACCCTTTATAACCAAAGACTTGGACACTTGCCGCACAAGTTTGAAAAACTGGTAAAGTTCTTTGTTTATGATCGTTATTGGTCTTGTATTGTTATTTTTTTGTATCGTTATTGGTGTTTTTCCCGTTCAAAAGTTTCATCACACTTTCATTTCCCCATCCATTCTTTCATGTATTCCTCCTTCACTCCGTCTGTTTATTCATCCGTCCATCCACTTGAATTTCGCTCATTCATTTACGCATAGGAATGTAAAAAATTGGAAACATTTACAACCATCACTCAAAATAGGCGGATTTCCGTGAAGTTACCCTTCCAAACTAACCATTCGTCCGTCCGTCTGTTWGCCGGTTCTTTCCAACGTAGCACAACTCAAGACTGTCATCTTTGATAACGAAAAGCAGCCSTATRGATATATATCCATCTATTATTTCATTCATTTCGTTTGGTTTGTATGTAGGTCAAACTAACAGGAACGCACCTATCCCAGCAAGTGTATGCTATGATAACTTACATCCAAGCAGTACAGTCACAATCCCTACAAGAAACCATGGCAAAAGCTAAAAATAAGAAGAAAGGACAAAACACTGCTGGAAAAGTATGTCTTTTCATTTGTTTTCCCTTTTCGTTCAATATATATGAAAGCGCACGTCTTGATTGGTTGATTCACCGTCCAGTATATAGGAAAGCGCACGTCTTGATTGGTTGATTCATCGTCCAGTATATAGGAAAGCGCACGCCTTGATTGGCTGATTCACGGTCCAGTATATAGGAAAGCGCACGTCTTGATTGGCTGATTCACGGTCCAGTATGAAGAAAAGCGCACGTCTTGATTGG